TATTTTTAAAAATTAATATTATTTATCTTGAAGAAGAATTGCAACGTCAAATATAGTTAATTAAATATCTTTTGTCCACTTAAACATATGTACATGTATAAAACATATCAAATAATTTATATTTAAAAATTATAATGAAAGACGAGAATAAAACTTGGACCATAAATTGTAAAATATCTGAGAAAACAGGTTCGCAGATTCCAAACGAGTATAAAGTTTATTCTTTTTTGCATTTCATGGCCAAGAGTCATCGTGCCAGTATTTCCAGTATTAGGATTATTTTGGGCGGAGCCGAAACCAATATGCAAATTGTACTGATTTATTTCGGTATTCGATTCAGTTGCAAACTGTAGTTTGCACGAATTCTGCATAATGTGATTATTGATAACTTTCAAACTCCTGCTGCGTAAATAAAAATATTTTAATAAAATATTGGATCGACTTGAAAATTACTTCCTTTTTTACGTAATTTTAAAATCACTATCTATTTATTGCGCCAATATTACAAGATTTGTTGAAGGATATTCAATAAGCATAGTGTGTTACAAGAGGCGGTCTTATTGCTAAGCAATCTTTTCCAGACAACCTGTAAGTAGAAGGTATAGAAGATATATATCTTTAATTCACAATTTCAATTAGACACTTAAAGGTTGACTGGAAATAATCCCTTTTGTGGGATAAGTCCGCCATTGCTCTCATTCTTTTACTTAATAAATTTATGTAAATTATGTGTTTAAATATTCGTAAACAGCTTTCGATCTTTACAAAATTATAGGTATTAAAACAAAACAAAAAGATAAAACAAAAGAAGAAAATTAAAGATAAATTATAAAAGTAGATTAAGATGACTATAATATCACGTAGCAAATATGACTACACTTAATTTATTTTTCTTTTTTAAATTTAAATTTAGTATAGGATATGTTCTAAATAATTTTTACATTATGCCTTATATTGGTAGGCCAGGGCTTTGTAGCTGGAAGTTCATCTGATTTATTATGGAATAGTACTGGATTACACAAATTATTCGGCCATAGACATTACTTTTTATTATAGTTTCACTTTTCCCATCGTGATTCTTGCTCGAATAGACAACGTTTGCTGTGGAAATCACACAGATTAATATGCAAAGCATATCTACTAATTTGTAACGAGCCCTTTGATAATATATTACTCTGAGTTTAATGACAGCAATTAATATGAATTGATCACGTAGAAACGATAATTTTATAACTGTGTAAAAGTTTAAATAATGTTGTTATGCAATTTCTCTTTTATTTTATTTGTATGAAGATGTTACTGACAGCAATAAGTGATAATTAGCAAATGTAAATAAAATAAAATGAATAACATTAATCAAAATAATCTTTAAGTAACATATTATGCCTATCCTACACCTGAGACCTCAGGAATGGCAACGCATTGGGAGTATCATGGACGAAACAGTATACTCTGTTATGTCCATGGTACTGCTCATATCTATAGGCGACGGTTACCACTTTCGATCAGGTGGGTCGTCAGATTGTTTGCCTTTCTAAATTGTATAAAAAAAATTATATAATTTGGAAAAAGTAAGACAATGATGTTACTAGCATCAACAAGTGTCTATCTAACACGAAAGTGATAAGGACAAATTCTACTGATGTTCATTTCTAAGAAATAACCAAAAGAGACTTGGGGCTGGATGTTTTGGGTGGTGCACCTTGACGTTCTTTGTCTGAATCCTTATAACACACCCTGTGTTCGAGCTTGAAGCTGTAATTCATGTGATTATCTGACATTTTTTATTTAAGCTAAGTCAATCTAAGTAATATAATATAATTGTAACTTTATAGTGTCTGTACATTATATAAATATAATATAAAAAAAAATAATACGAGTGATTAATAATGTGTATAAGACCAATAGAAAACAGATCTATATTTTTTATAAATACTCTCTATCCGTCTGTCTGTTGTCTCTCTGTCTGTCTGTTCGTTTGTATGTTTGTTTAGGAATCACGTAAAAACTATTCCAAATTGGATATCGTTTTAACGTTCCCGAGAAAAATTCGATATATGTTTCATCTTGATATGGTAATAATATCAAGAATTGTAATTATAATATTAATTATTAATTTCTATAATTAGTCTATTTCATGGGTTTTCTTACTTTTTAAATCCACGCCTACAAAGTAGCGAGAAAAAAGCTAGTTTATAATAACATTTAGTAGCAAACCAGACTGACGGTCAGAACCCTTTCGCAGCGCCATCTATCGGGTCCAATTGTCAATTTAAACAATCCAGGAATCCATTCAAAAAACACTCAAAAAATAAATTATCACAATGATTTAACATTTTAGGAGAAGATAAAGATAATAAAAAGAATCAAGCGTATTTTAGAAGGAAGTAAAGGTAACAAAACATTCAAGAACTAAATATGATTATAAAAAAAATAAAAAAGCAAATATTGTACTATGGGGCACCAAGAAGTTCTCAGGTTGATATATATGACGACAAGTACTTGCATTATACAAACAATATATTATTGATTAATTATATATATATATATATATTTTTTTTTCTTTATTGCACTTGTAAGTTACATATAAAATAATCTATATATATATATATTTATAAATTTTGTGAGCAAGGGTGGACTTATCTCTGACAGAGATCTCTTCCAGTCACCCCAGTACAGTAAGAAAGCATTTCGTTAGCGGGCAGCTGAAGTGCTACAACTATTAATACATAAACAAATATACAGTTAAATAAAATATTAAAATATATAATAAAATATTACATAAATACATACACTATAAATACATATAATACCTACCTATTTATATAATAAATGTTAAAATAAATGAATATACTACTTACATTAGAAATTTCGTTTTATGATTTTAAGATTTGACAGTTCAATTAGAAAAATACAAAAAAAAATTACTCAAGGGAAAGAAAATGCGATTTCAACCTCTTCTTGAAAGATTATTATGTTGGTTTATGCCAAATGCCTAAGAAAAATGATCGAGTACAGTGTAGTTTCATTAAGTCTACAATACTTGACTTTATGCACACAAATCCACGACATTCAGCACTTATACATATATGTCTCATTTTCCTCCATCTACCATCTAAGAGCAGCGATGGTATCACTCAAAAATACTGTTCTCACAAACATAAAACAAACTGGCACGCTCGTGATCTAAGAGTTAGGCGAAATGTCGATTTACTTATTTATCAAAATCATAACGTCTTAACATCATCACGACTCTTCCATATTGGTCGAGCGCGCCGCTTCTTCCAAATGTTTGTATTCAATATTTACAACGTTACCACAATGACAAGCAGATTTTTTTTTATATATCTACACTACAGCAGTGATTCCTAAAATGTATTATTCTGAAAAATATTACTATTTTAAAGAAAAATTACCAGCATTTCGCTGTTTTGTTTTGGAAAGTTGTTATCTGTTGAGAAGAGCCCGCAAGAAACTTAACAGTTACTCTTTTAAATCTCTGTTAACATTATGTGTATTTATTTAAATGTACTATCCAATTACACGTAAGTTAAACCGGTATTAGGTATCATTTAAATGTGTTATGTTGTCCAGTATCAATATGCTCGTAATGTAACCGTAATATTTTTTTTTTATTTTTTTTATTAGCTTTTATTTTTTTTTGTCTCCACCAATTTTATCAGACATTCAGAGGTTGACTGAAAGAACCCCCTTTTATGAGATGAGTCTGCCATTACACTCATTATTTTCTTAAGATCTCTAGGTATATCTTACAATTTAAAACTACTTGTACAATAAAATATCACAAACCAAAAAATAAACAAATTTATCTTTCAATTTTTCGTATTATAAGTGTTAACTGCTCTGGTAGGAGAGAAGGGCAGTGACAATAAATAGATATAATTATTAGAGAGGCTTACCAGTATAATTTCCTTGACAAGAAGTGTACAAGTACTCGAACAAGTAAGAAAACAAAAAAGTTATCAAAAAGACATATTCAAAATATAAAATATAAAAAGGTAAACTTATATAAAAAGAAATAATAAGTTTGCGAATAAAAAAATACGAACTGACCTGAAAAGTTTAGAACCACTGGTCTATACGTAACATTGTAACGGAATACAGTTATGTATTTTACGTATTTCCAATGTGAGTGAAAGTATGCTCGTTAAAAAAATTCGGATACGTATGTATCTCTTTGAATCAATTGTAACTCGGCCTGATTCACAAATGCATTGTTTCTAGAAAATGGCGTATTTGGTACAAATGTGCGAACCAATGTGTACCGTATAATGAACTTGCATACAATAGTCATTATGCCATTAACATTTTAAAATATTAAAATACCACTCGTCAAGTTAGTATGGGAAGCTAATCATTTCCTCGTTTAATAACTCAAATCTCTTTGGGAGAAAAAATCATTATAATTTATAGAACATTCGCTTCAAATGATCCTATGGCAATGCATGGGGGGTATCATTGGCGAAACAGTATACTCTGTTATGCCCATGCTACTGCTTTTGTCTATAGGTGACGGTTACCACTTTCCATCAGGTGGGCCGTCAACTTGTTTGCCATTCTAAGTTGCATAAAAAAACCAGTGTAAGGCGCAATGTAGGACGACCCCCCATTAAATGGAGTGACAACCTCAAATGCATTGCAGGAAGTCAGTAGATGCGAGTAGCTCAGGACTGTTCCTTATGGCATTCTATGGAGAGGCCTATATCCAGCATTGGTCGGATAATGGCATAAAATGACGAGTCTCTCAAAAAAGGTTGCTGATTCAATAGTAGTAATTACTTATTTTTCTAGAATGCTCCACTAGTTTCGAAACCATCCTGGATTCTTAATAACGAGATATCATGATGCGAGCGCAATCTTTATTTTTGCAATACATTTAAAATAAGTCTATCGCTGTACATATTTTTAATAACCTAATATTTATATTAAAAGTTAATCTACAAAAGCATATAAATAAATAAATTGAACACTTTATTTACTTGGGTTGTCAAGTCCATAATGCAATCGCATAATGCTTCCGGTAGCGGCGTAAACTGCCCTTGATAAGCAGGCGTTACTATGCAATCTTCGATATCACCTGTGAACAAAAATAACACCTTATTAAAATAACAGTTAGTCAACAAAATTTAACTAATATTAATTATTTATTACGTACTTATTTTCACTAGTATAATACAATCCTTACCAGAGGGAGACTGTACAAAAGACGATTGCTTGGGTACCTCTGTCCCATTCGTGTTTCAACCGTGAAGCAGTTGTGTTTGCATGGCTGTGTTTCGGTTTGAAGGTTGGGATAAAGCATGAATTTACTGGGTACAGAGGAATAACACCTGAGTCCTCAGAATGGCAACGCATGGGGGTATCATGGGCGAAACAGTATACTTTGTTATTTTTATGGTACTGCTCATGTCTATAGGCGACGGTTACCATTTTCCATCAGGTGGGCCGTCAGCTTGTTTGCCATTCTAAGTTATATAAAAAAATAGTAATATATAATATTGTAAATGTGAAAGTAAGTTTGTTTGTTACCTTATAGCGTCTTAACGGCTTAACCAATCTCTAAGAAATTGTGGTATATACATACTATATGGGATGGAACAACAAACATGATATATCCTGCTCACGCAGACACAGTTGCTGGTAAAAGCTAGTATTTAAGACTATTTCAAAAAGGAAAATTACAATCTTAACAAAAAAAAAAAAAAATAGAATCTTTACTGTTATCGGAGTTAGAAGTATTTTTTATTTTAAATAAATTTCATTATTTTTCCCGAATTTTTCGATTATTATATATTTTTAAAATGGCAATTAAATAAAATACTATGTGATGTTTCTTTTATTTTAACAATTTAAGTGATTTATTATAAAATAAAAATAAAAACTTTTTTACATCTCTTATAATTTTAATCCGTAATAATTATCATTTTATAGGTCATTTCCACATCGTGATTAGACGAAGCGCGTGGAAATTCCGACAGGCACGTACCCAGGGGAATTAGTGGGCGCCCATAAATTGCGTCGCATAATGCAGTCGCTGCGGATGAATCCCCGGGGCGCGTCGCGGCCCGTGCCGTTGGCTACCGTCCAAACAACAGTCTATGTTATTAGCGGAAAGCGAGCCAGTTTTTATTTGTGACTATATTTTTAGTAGTTTGTCGATGACCACAAGTTTGCCAATTCCCTGTAGGTTTTAATAGTATTTTTTTTCTTATGGTTACAAAGTTACTTTTTTTTATTTTACCATGACATGTGACCACACCATAGTGAGCTAACACAAAGATAATATAGTCCATGAATACGATCAACCGAAAGGAGAATAATTTTACTTTCAACGATTGATCACACTATGTCAGCAATTTAAGCGCTTTTTCATGTTACATTTTAAAGATCCGAGGTTGTAGGATGCAGGAAACACGTCTCGAAAAAGGACATTCCACATTGTTATAGTACCATTCGCGTAAGAGTTGGCAAACTTATTTGTACGCGAGGACGGGCGGTCGATTGAGAATGAATGTAGTCACTGGAACATCGATCACAAATGGTCGCGTACAACGTGGTTTCAGAGATGTTTTCTCCCACGAACACTCAGGTTACGGAATGAGCTTCCTGCCGAGGTTTTTCCAAGAGACTACAGCGTGGGGTTCTTCAAAAGACGGGTAAAGAGGTTTCTTCAGGGTCGGCAACGCGCGCGTAATACCTCTGGTATTGCAGGCGTTCATAGGCTACGGTAATCGCTTACCATCAGGTGGGCCGTATGCTTGTTTGCCACCTCAGTGGTATAAAAAAAATCCTTGTAATGCGATATCAATAATTACACATTATTACATATGCCCCTTATTATTCTCATATTATTTGATATTCAGAGGCATGTTTTGATTCATTTTCTTCTTTAAATAAACAGCAATTAAATATTACAAGATAAATAATTACTAAATCACATCATATGGAAATATAAGTAAACATTTATTCAATATTTAAATAGTATAAATACATATTTTCTTGACTAAAAGATCCAAAATACTTACTCCTTTATATAAACAAAAATTTTCCATAAACCTGTTTCAACTATTAAGATGTTTTGTCACTTTTTTCACACTAAGAATTTAGAAAAGAAAACGACAAAACCTTGAAGTGTTTTGTTAAAACATCTTTATGAGACGTTTGTTGTTTTTATGAATTAGAGAGGGTTAAATTTATATTTGTCGCTTCTCGTTTATGACATGGACTTACATTTCAACCAAGTAGGTGCAAATAAACGTAAATAGTTACCGTGTGTAGACGTATCTCCTTCATTCTAATATTTGCGATGAGTGTGTTATAATCCAACTGTAGATACCCTTTTGTTCTATTGCGGAAATATAAATATTTACTCATACATGACCTCATATGCGTAAATTTTTACTATTTTTTTTTATGGATGATAATAGTAACCCCGCCTGCGGTATCGGTATACGCTGACGAGGCACTAGTGAGAGATAGGTGAGAATGAAATGGCAGGTCAGTTAGCCTATTGTAATGTAACCGGAATTCAGCACGATGGTTCCTAGAGGTAACCACGTAGAAGTCGATCTGACGGGATATATTACTAGCAATAGTATTGGTAGTCAGCGTTACTAACAATACCTCCCCCCCAACGTACTAATATTACAATTGTAAAAATAAGTTTGTTCATTTGTTGCCACTTAGCGCCTTAATCACTCACAAAGAAAATTGGTTCACACATATTATATTGGATATAGAAGGATATAGGCTACTTTATACGTAGCTCAGTTAAAATATACGCAGACGAAGTCACGGGTAAAAGCTAGTTTGTTTACATAAAGCTGTAAATTATGTGTAATGAATGCAACGCGCTATCAGAGAGCGCAGGCGAGCGCTGTGGTCAGCGGTTGCAAACAATAGGCGAATGCTATGAATACTGTGGGGTAAAGTCATCTAGCAATAATTAAAAGGAGAACAACTTCCCTGTCCTTCTATTAAGGTCATGTAACATAGATCAAATTATTGTTGTAAGCATTTTAGCATTTATAAATTAAATTTTTATTTTTCATTATTATAGCCGTTAGCTATCCACTGCTGGACATGTCTTTCCCATAAGGGGAGTTTTGCCAGTAGTTGCTACGCTTGGTAGGCTGATTGCAGTTAGGCTTTTAGAGATATTTTAAGAGGGATGCTGCTGTTTATCTCTCGTCCTCCCTTAGTCGCCTCTTACGACACCCACGGGATAGGAAGGGGTGGCCCATTCTATGCCTGGGTACTCACAGCGATAAATTTAATAATATTAATAAATAATAAATAAATTATTATTAAATAAATGTAACTACATGAGACAGATAGGGGAAACATTAGATGTCATGTCGTATAGGGAGATTAAAGATATGGCCTGGAATAGAACTTGCCGGAAGAGAACGCATCAATCAATTTGCCTTGACAAGAGGAAACTCTTAAATGGAAAGAAGAAGAAATAATAATAAATAATCCTTACTAATATGAAATTGTGTTTGTCTGTTTGTTATCTGTTATCGGCTTAACCAATTACAACGACATTTGTTATGTTCATGTACTATAGGTGATGAGATATTATACGCTAATTTTTATACTGGTCAGTGCACATATAACACGCTCACGAGACGAAGTCGCGGGTAAAAGCTAATTTATTTATAAATTCAACTATTATTTTTTAAAATAATACTAAAAAGAAAATTATAAAATTAAATATTTGCCGTCTACATTTGTGGATTACGAAAAGTACCATTTCCTTCGTCCGTGTTATGACTGTCCTCTGGGATAAGAGTGCGCTTACCTTCTGGTAGGCCGTATGCTTGTTCGCCACCTCAGTGGTATAAAAAAAGATAATGTTATTGGTATTATTAAAGTCATTATAAATGTATGTAATGTTCATGACAATTTTTATAGGCGATAGTCACCTCTTTCTTTCGGGCATTTCAGGGTGCAAAAAAATTAAACAAAAAAAACACATTATTTGCCCAGGTATTTTACTTGTAAAAAAAGGAGTTTATGCAGACACGAGTATTATGAAAAAAAAAAAAAACAATAAAATATACATAATAAAATGCGGACTCTAAGATAAAATACTATAAATCGCGGAAGACATACTTCTATGTGCTGTCTATACCATCGATGTATATTTATTGGGACAAAAAAGTACGCTGAGCTTTGTTCTCGCATAAGCAGGGCCGTATTTTCACTTGCGGAACAAAACTATTATACCCACAAATTAAATTGTCCATTGATAAAATCTCGACAGTTCATTAGATAAGCGCTTATTATAATTTAATAATATATATATTATAGGTAAGCTGTAAATAGTTATATAATTGACAAAATACAAGATAAAGCTCTAGGTTCTGGTTTTAAATTGGCAACGCGAATTTATATTGTGTCTTTGTCTCGCTAAATTTAATGCTATTCATTATTAATGAACCTGATACAGTATCCGGAAGAAATCGCCATTTTTTTACACCGCATTCCGAGGTAGTGGCACTTTAACAAATGGACGATAAAATGCCAAGTGTTATGTTGATTTAAGTGCTAAATATAGGTTCAAGGAATGTATTGAATGGGAATTTAAGATCTTAAAGGGAAGCCACGTCTAAATTTCTTGTAACTATTGAAATAATTAAGTGCAAATATTAATTAAAGAATTTATTGTCAAAAATAAATAGATATTTTTCTATTCATTGATCTAGTTTAGTATATTAAGCTAGATACTAGGCTAAGCCATAAAAAAGAAAAGTAGCATGTTTATCTTTTGTCAAAAAGTAGGAAAACTTTTAAGTTGTTTAGTAAACTATGTTAACACCTAAGTTATAATAAATATAAATACCAACGAAAGTAATTATTGAAATGGTATAACTAATTACTTTCGAAAGTACCATAGTGTAATGTTGATTTTTTTAATCCCAGAAACTATTTTGAATATATATTTTAAATATTTCGTATTTATTATGGGATCATGCTGTGTGCATATGTTGAAGAAATTTTACTTGAACAATAAATACATTGATGTACCTATATATTATAAGCTCAAATCTGTAAACTTCTGTCATTATGCAC